TCACCACAGAGTTGTTAATAAAAAGAAAAGCTATAGAATGTAATCCAAAGTGACAACCCGCACTGTAATTCTAGCCATCTGAATGCTGCAGTAAACGTATTCACGCATGGACAATTGTGCCTTAATTGGAAATGCATTTTCTTAGATGGATAATAAGCCATCTCGAGTTCTTAAATGATGCCCCTTAGTTTTTATCTCTGCGCATGATAAAACAGCCCCCTGATGCGCACCTAATCCAGTCCCATCAAGATCTTGTGTTTCAATAAGATAGTAAGCCCTTGATCTCAGGAATGAGCCGAGTGATCATTTTTCTCAATTGCTTCAAAAGAAATTGTAACTTTTTCAAATGAGTGACAAAAACTGTACACAGGACACCAGATGAGATCTCTCCAAACTCTGTTGAACAGTAATAAAATCTCAAATAAAACAAAGAACTGCGAGTGCGGAAGATTGGAAACAGATCTCCCTATTCATCTATTCCTCTTGTAAAAAAGATCAATGTGCCATTTACTTGCCTAATCCCTGGCTGTACCTGCATACTAGTTTTGTGATTTGTGCAGATTCATCTGTACCACTGAGCTCTGCTACCTCTTCATTGTAATGGTATACTGCTCAATGGGCAAACTCCATCTCTGAAATTTTATCTTAGCGTACATTGTAGGGAGGCAGGTTCTGGATTAGAAATCTATTTTCTGCATACCTCAACCAACCAAAGAGACTGATCAAGTCGCGTTCCAAATCTTTCAAAGGAAGGGTTTCTAATTAGAGCTGCTAAAGATTTAACATTTACTACATTGAATAAAGGATAACACTAACCATGCTACAGGACAAAACTGCACATTATGCTTCTGGAATAACTACTTAACAGTCATTGATGCAGATTTGTATTTACATATTCACATTACTTGTTTACAATACAAATGGAGCCCTCATCCTGTTGATGCCTGTGGTTTCAACAACAACAGAAGAAAGTCTACTGAGGAAGGCTGCATTCTGATTGTGGACTATTACCTGCAGATGCCACAGTGTAATTTGAAGGATTGAAGTAGGGTAATGTTTGTCAACGGGGTGGGGAGAAAAAGAGGAGGTCACCCTCTTGAGTCAAGTTTGTGTGCATGAAAGTTTCTGAGGAAATGAGCAGCAGGAGGGTGATCCCTTGAACCTGGATACAGTGTCCAAGAGGTTTAATACTCTGACACCCCATATTCTGACCTTCTCAGTATTCACCTGCAGAAGCCTCCCCAGTCGAATGTACCCTGCAACTTTACTCATACCTTTGCCTGTAGGAACCTCCACACATCCTCATCTGAAGAGCCAATATTCACACACTTGCATGTAAACTCTCAAATTAAATGAAAAGTCTTCCAATCTAGATGAAAAGCATTCTAAGTTGCTAAGAGAAGGAAGAGTGAAAATGTGGAGGTATAATTTTCCAATCCTGTTTAGGTACATCAGTGCATGACACAACTGTGCATTTACCTGCAGTGTGAGAAACAACTGTTTTTCCATTATTCTGTGCTTTCTTCCTCTTCCAACTTCATGTTCAGGCATCCATTGCTAACAAGTCTATTACATAGTATTTCATCAAATGCCTTCTGGAAGTTCATTTGCATATTTTCTAATCAGCCTGTTCAAAGATATTGTTGCATGCAAACTCTCTAAATTATCTCAGATTCTCCAGCATCGGCAGTTCCTACTATCTCTGCATGTAAACTCTGCTTTCTGTCCTTAAGGAGGTGGGGTACAGGAGAAGGGCTTCTATTGATAAACACTGTACCAGACACTGGCAATGTACAACTGCCAGATTTGGGAGGTGATCTTATTCCTAGAGGCTGCAGATGACAGTTTTGATGTACAATGCCTGAATTTCCTGAAGCACTGCTGCTTACGTGTTGAGACTGGGATGCAGATACTGAACTGGGGGTTCTGCTTTCTTTTTAAGCTTAATTTCAGTGTCCACTCCTTCTGTCTAGTGCAATACCATGTGGGTGAAGGGACAAAGCTGTTGCTACTACTTTTGTTCCTCAGTTGTAGTTCAAGGTAGAGCTGCAAAAACTGTGCCCATGCAAAGAAGTGTTGATCAAGATGAATGGAATTGAAAATGGCTTAAGGTATTTTCTAATTGACCTGTTCAGAGATGATAGTACACAGCTCTGGATCAGGTGGGACTTGAACTCAGGCCTCCTGGTCCAGCGGTAGGGACACTACCATTGCACCACAAGAGTCCTGGAAAACAGTTTAACTGATCTCTAAGAAGTTTGACTCACTGATTGCACAGGTGATTCTATTTTAGAAGTGCTGTGAACACAAGGCTCAAAGAAGTACTTAGAGTCATAGAGTTATACAGCATAGAAACAGTGCTTTCAGTCCAACCGGTTCATGCTGACCATAATTCCAAACTGCCTGTGCTTGGCTCATTATCCATCCAAACATTTCTTATTCATGTATTTACCTAAATGTCTTTTAAACAGTGTAACTGTACCATTGTCCATTACTTCCTCTGGAAGTTCAATCCACACATGAACCAGTCACTGTAAAAAAAAAAGATCTTCATTTAAATCTTTCTCCTCTCACCTTAAAAATGTGCTCCCTTTAACTTCCATTCTTCCAAGTGTTCTTTTTTTCTTAAAAAACACTTGTTCAATTTCAATTTGTTCTTGTTCAATTTCTTAAAAGGTTTATCAACAGCCGACTAGCCTGAACTCAACAGGTCCATTCCTCTTCCCCTATCCCCCATCCCTCCACCCCCCTCCCCCACCCCCTCCCCCTCCAACCGTGGAGTTATATTTGCCATTCTGCACTCCTTTTGCACCACTCAAGACCCCCTGCTTTGCAGGTGTGCAATAACATCTTTGAACAGGTTGATTAGAAAATATCCATATGAACTTCCAGAAGGCATTTGATGAAATACTATGTAATAGACTTGTTAGCAATGGATGCCTGAACATGAAGTTGGAAAAGGAAGAAAGCACAGAATAATGGAAAAACAGTTGTTTCTCACACTGCAGGTAAGTGCACAGTTGTGTCATGCACTGACGTATTTAAACAGGATTGGAAAATTATACCTCCACATTTTCACTCTTCCTTCCCTTAGCAACTTAGAATGCTTTTCATCTAGATTGGAAGACTTTTCAATTTTTTTGAGTGTTATCACACTTTCAAGTGGATGCTGTTTATCTTTTTATCTTATACAATTCTTCTGCACCCTTCTTTGCTGCAACATTTACAGCATTCTCTTAAGACTGAAATCAGTATGACCTGAAGGAGACTTAAGGAAGAATGTGCCAGTGTAAAATTAAAGGGGCTGGGCAGACTGTCAACTTGAACTCAGTCAGTGGACTAAGGAATACAATACCACCTTGAACAGGCTGGGAGTAGAGAGGAAAGCTAATTGGATTGGGGAAAGGCAGAATATTAATAATGATATGATTTGTGAATGTCACCTTGAATGGGTGGGGCAAAAAAGACTGGACGAGAAACAAGATATAGGATCAAAAGCATGTGAGATAAGTGGGGAACCTTGACGAACCTATGTGTTTTAAATGGTTACAGCACAACAATGATAGCTTTCATTAATGTAGCCTTTTTTAACACACAGAGGCATCATCAGTCAATAATGTGGAGAGGGGTTTCCTCTGATGGGAGAATATAGAGCTAGTGATCACTGTTTTAAAACTCAAGGGTCACCCAATAAAAACAGATGAGACAAAATATTTTCTGAGGTTTGAAAACCTTTGGAACTCTCTTCCGGAAACGGTGATGGAAACAGTGCCCTTGAATATTTTTAATGAAGAGATGGATTGTAGAAGCAAGGGGGTGAAAAGTTATTGGGGATAAGTGGAAATGCAGATTTGAGGTTGCTGTCAGGTCACCCATGATCTCATTGAATAAGATCCTAATCTGCATCTTTGTGTTCATGGAATCCCTACAGTCTGGGGAGCAGGCCATTCGGCCCATCAAGTCCATACCGACCTTCCAAAGAGCATCCCACCAAGACTCAGACTCAGACACAGCCCTTTAACCCCATCTCTGCAAACCCGCCGCATTAGTCAATCCACCTAATCTGCACATTTTTGGACTGTGCGAGGAAACCGGAGCACCCGGAGAGAAACCCACACAGACACGGAGAATGTGCAAATGCCACACGGTTAGGGGTGGAATCGAACCCGCGTTCCTGGTGCTGTGAAGCAGCAATGCTAACCACTGAGCGAGACACAGTGCCGCCCTAGCGTTCTAATGTATAAAATGATATTGATTTTAGGAGGCGTTATTGAATCTTTGGGCGTGGAATGTAACTGTGCAGAACCTGTATTGTGAAACCGTAGGCGTGAAAGAAACATTGTAGCTGAGAACAAGATATCAGAAAGTACATGATCAGTACTGTTTCACTACAACTATACAATGCGATATGAAGAACTGCGTGAAAACTAAAGAAATATTGGCATTTCTAGGAAACCCCTCAGGATGCTCCGAAGAGCTGTACGAACCACGAAAGTGTACACGCCGTTGTGATGTAGAAAATAAGTTTTAAACTGATTGTGAGCATCGTTTAAAGGAAACTTATTAAATATTAAAAGCATTGATATATGTTTTAAATTGCGATCTAATTGTGACCTTCGTGACAATACAACAATGGGCTTTCTGCTTCCCAAAACAGCAACTTAGAGCGTCCTTTGTAAGGCAGTAGTTATGTTTATTATTACATTGCTCACTGATCAGAAAAACCAATTGTCCTGCTGATAACATAAAATATTCTAATTGTGTTATAGTATCACAAGAATCGAATTAATTCTGTTTAATATTGATCTGTGCCTTTCTTTCTGTTGATTAACATTTGCAGTCAATTTATTTTTTGTCTTATGTAAAAATGTTATTTTTGTTGGAAGTTACTTCCTCCTGACAGTGCAGAGGCGTTTTGTTTCGTGACTGCAGATGATTGACAGCTCAAACGGCCTCTACTAATCTCCCTGGGCCTGGCACCCCCGTATGTGCCAATCAGTTTGATCCAGGGCGGTTGAGCAAAACTTTTACGAATAAACTCAACGCCAGGAAAGATTACAGCGAGTTTGTGGAAAGCGCAGAGCAGCCAGTGAGGCATTGGGTTGAAATTCACTGCCATACCTCATTCGACAGCGTTTGATTAGATATCCTTGACAAAAGGATCTGAAGATCACCAAGTGCCTAGTCCAGGTAAACAAGCTGAGTTCAACCTGCTTCTTTCAGAGGCGGTGAAACATTTCAGCATTTCTGCTTCTATGCTCAGCGTTAATCTTTCAAAGTACCGTGCGAGAATCTTGCGTACATTGTGATGATTTTGTTCATTATTCTGTTCAAAGCTGTAAAACCGGGAACAAAAAGAAATAAATTATAGGATATTAGAGTTGGGAGACGGTTTACTCTAGGCTGTCCTCTTGAATTACAATACCTTTTAAACAATATGGAGTTTATTTAAAGTTCTAATCTGATGGCTAGCTCCCCTAGCTCAGATTATTCTCTTATACTGATCATAGAAAAAGTAAAAAAAAAAGGCAACCGATGACTTTCGCCCAGTGGAACGAGAGCGAATGGTCACAAGTCGACACTCCAGACAAAGCAGGGTTTGTTACTGTTTTGGAAGCCTGTGTATAGTCTGCAACGAAATGATAGCATGAACAGTAATCAAAAGCTGCAATGTACTAAAAGTAAACTTTCTTAAAATATAAAGACATAGTTTCTAACTTCCTCATAAGTTTTTGGATTTGAAACCCTTTCGCCCAGACCTTTTTCGTACTTTTGTAATTTCCTCTCTCCTGGAGTCTTTTATTCCTCTCCTTGATGGGGCCTTTTTGCTCAGGTGTCTATATTCATAGGTGTAAGTGATGAGAAGTTTTTTTAAACATAGTATGAGAGATATTCAGAAACAGAAAAGTACGAAAGAGGGATTTCCAGAAAGGAAACCCAAAGCAGCTGAGGCGTTCTTGCCAGTGGTGAACTGAATGAAACAGAAAAGGTCTGCATCAGAAGAAGGGGATGTAGTGTTGTAGCAGATAAAGAATGAGGTGGAGTAAAGCACTGAAGATAATTATAGAGGAGAAGCATTAATTTTGAGTTGAATGTTTTGGAAATTTGAAGTTTGTGTAGGTGAGAAGGATTTGTGAAAGTGAGGACTTACTGTGACTACAGGTAAGTTTCCAAGAGGTAGAGCATGAAGTAGTTAAGCCCAGGAGTGATAGATGTAAGTAAGGTTTCTGCATTATAGGAGCTGTGGTTGGGCCAGAAGCAAAGTTGCAGTGAGGAAGCAAATAGATTTGTGGTATTGAATAATGTTCCACATGGTACTTAAAACTACAAGTTTCCAAAACCTTTACAAAAAATGGAACCAGAAGTCACAATCTATAGGTTATTAAGGTATTGTTTTCTGAAATATATCCCTTTTCATAAAAAAGAATGCATACTCCCTCACCCCCATCCCACGCCCCAAGAAGACTTTCCACATCAAGCAGATGTTCACCTGCACATCTGCCAATGTGGTATACTGCATCCGCTGTACCCGGTGTGGCTTCCTCTACATCGGGGAAACCAAGCGGAGGCTCGGGGACCGCTTTGCAGAACACCTACGCTCGGTTCGCAATAAACAACTGCACCTCCCAGTCGCGAACAATTTCAACTCCCCCTCCCATTCCTCAGACGACATGTCCATCCTGGGCCTCCTGCAGTGCCACAACGATGCCACCCGAAGGTTGCAGGAACAGCAACTCATATTCCGCTTGGGAACCCTGCAGCCCAATGGTATCAATGTGGATTTCACAAGTTTCAAAATCTCCCCTCCCCCTACCGCATCCCAAAACCAGTCCAGCTCGTCCCTGCCTCCCTAACCTGTTCTTCCTCCCACCTATCCCCTCCTCCCACCTCAAGCCACACCTCCATCTCCTACCGACTAACCTCATCCCGCCCCCTTGACCTGTCCGTCCTCCCTGGACTGACCTATCCGCTCCCTGACTCCCCACCTACACTCACCTTTACTGGCCCCATCCCCGCCTCTTCGACCTGTTTGTTTCCTCTCCACCTATCCTCTCCTCTATCCATCTTCTATCCGCCTCCCACTCTCTCCCTATTTATTTCAGAACCCCCTTCCCCTCCCCCTTTTCTGATGAAGGGTCTAGGCCCGAAACGTCAGCCTCTCTGCTCCTATGATGCTGCCTGACCTGCTGTGTTCATCCAGCCCTGCACCTTGTTGTCTCGGATTCACCAGCATCTGCAGTTCCTACTATCTCTGCATACTCTATCGTTTGAGTTACTCAACACACGGAATCCATCAGGAAAATCATCAAGTATGAATACAAATGTATTCTTTTTCATGAGATCCAATTTTGTCTGTTCCTATATGTGCATTGCAGTAAATCTTCAAGGCATTCAGATCAGCTAATTGGTATTTCTGAAGAAGGGTCTAGGCCCGAAACGTCAGCCTTCCTGCTCCTCTGATGCTGCTTGGCCTGCTGTGTTCATCCAGCTCTACACCTTGTTATCTCAGATTCTCCAGCATCTGCAGTTCCCACTATCTCTGAGCAAATTGGTACATTTGAGTTGTGTTTGATAATATGATTATTATTAAACTGTCTGTAACAGTCCACTTGTTGAGGTGTCATTGCAACGATAAGTGTTGCTGTTATTGCCTCTGGGCTAAAGCATTTGTTGGGGAATGGTTGACTGATGGTCATTCAGATCCATTTTTAGTTTCAAAAAATCAAATCTACTTAAACAATGGCAGTTTCTCCAGTTGCATGTGAATGCCTACAGATCTAACAATGGATCTGGTTGTTCACTTTCTCCTCATATGATTTGAGGTGACAACTGTTCTACACAGGTTGCAGGTTGCCAAGTGGGCTGCCATTTACTGATTGCTTTGAGTGCCTGGCTCACCAACTCTCAGCTCGAGCCATGATTCGATAAGTTTTCTTCAAAGTGCAATTTGCCTTTCTGTTATTTCCCTTTGATCTGGTCACTCACTCCTTGTGATCTTCTGCCTTTAATAGTTTTTTTTTGACCTGTTGAAGAAATAGTCTGGTGTGGTGCAGCATTGGTTGCTGGACTTGGACTATTTTCCATACTTTCAGAAGATTTCTGAACTCTTAAGATTGATTTGTAAATTTCAATCAAATCTTGGATTGAAATGTACAAGTTTGTATCTATTCTTTTGGATTTTTTTTTTATTATCCCATTGGCAATTTTCACCACTGCCTCAACCTTTCCTTTTGAGTACAGATGGTTTGGGAAGTTCAGAAATACACAATTATTTGGAAGTGCCTGAATTCTTCACTTGTGTATTAAGAGACTTTGTAATTTATCACAATGTTGAGGATACCATGACGATTGGAGTGTGCAGTTGCTTTCTGCAGTTGAGTTGAGAAAAGAGATATTGAAGGGCATCCATGAAAATCATCAAGGAATTGTTTACAAACTAACTATGGCAAGAGAAGTGAACTACTGACCAAACATTAGCAATGAGATTTAAGGACCACATCAGCCAATGCAGTACTTGCAATGAGCATCGAGCTAAGTAAGATAAAGAGCCACTCAGCACTCATCACATCCCAGATATAGCATGAATGAATCTTGGGGTAGACCTTTTAATTCTCACTGGAACAGTGTAGTTCAATAAATAAATGTATTGTGAAAAATGACGGTGCCAGCAAGGTAAGCAGCGTTCAGGCTCCTGGACCCATCTGCTCCAGACAGGCCACTTCCTCCCTTGTTTCCTTATGCTTTTTGTCTTCTTTTTTGTTTTTCTTCATCTTCTTCCTGTTGGTGGTGGTAAAGAAGGTGTTGTCTTTGAGGAGGGCAGCCAGAGCTGGACTGTAGGCGAGGTGATGGCCTGGCCTGGCAGCAGAGCCAGGGACTCCTGGTTGTGGTAGGCCCAAATTCGGGACTGCAGGCATTGGCAAGGCCGTGGCTGAAATAGTGGTGGTGTGATATGCCCGGAGCATGGACTCAAAGCGTTGTCAAGGTGGTGGTGGCAGTGGAGCTAAGGATTGCTGGTTGCAGTGGGCCCAGAATGGGGACTCCTGGTTAACGGTGAGTTGGTGGCGGCAGCTCATGGTTGTGGTAGGCCAGGAGCCAGGGACTCTTGGTTGTCGGTGAGGCAGCAGCGGAGCCAAGGTGTCCTGATTACAGGGTGAGTGTGGGTCTAGCACAGAACCCAGCATTGGCGGCTCATCAGCGAAGTGGACTCAGTGACAAAGAGATAGCACCTGAAGAATGGCAACTCAGACATTGGTGGGTCCAGCACGAGTGATGTTGGTCAGGGCTCAGGACCTATGGCAAAGGTGGCAGAATGAAGATGGACTCTATTTCAGCTATATCTTTTTGTTCCTTTTAATCTTAAACTATTCAAAGTGGTGCCAGATTGTAGCAAGAATTGAAGTTTTTCACTGTATTTTACTGTGTTGTTCATTGTAGAGTACCAGTGACAATAAATCATCATCATTCATCCTCATCATTCATTTACTACTGCTCAGACCCACCGAAAGTTTCTTCTGGTAAGTGCAGCATGACCAATCGAAGCTTGTGTCAGTTGAAATATTGGATTTTTTTTTGTGTCCACTACCTGGAAGTGCAAATCTTCTTCTTGTTGTAAGAACTTTTAACTCATTTTTCCTCTTAGGGATAAAGATCACTCCAGTATTCAGTTTGACCTTCTCTTCAATGGCTTCATTCTCAAATCTCCATCTTGAGCATCTTCACAAAGGCCTGAAAATTTCGAATGTTGCATGTAGCACTAGCGTCTCTGTAATGCTTCATGTTCAGTTGAACCTTTTGTTTACCAGTAATTATTCCAATAAGTACAAATCTTTTTTTTAGCCTTGAAACATTGTGGGGCACAATCATTGTCCAACATCTCTACAGCAACCATTGTTATAGTTCTCCTTTTCTTTCTAGCAAAACACTTACATACAGTTATTCAGCTTCTTGGTAAAACACTACACTACTCATATTAGATATACTTTTTCTTTTGGATGATGTCCTCTGCAGGACTGCCATGGAGTTTCTGAATCCATTAGATCAATAAGGCACTGCTGCTAGTAACATTGTACAGTCTGGAATTAATTTTCCAAGGAATCGGTGCTTATCTGTGTTGCTATGTGAACTTAAACCATGAGTGTTTCATCTCTGCAGATGTCTTTAAAGCAACTATTTATTTTCTTGCACTATTTTTGGTGAAACTTAAATATGTGGTTAGCTGCTAAATTCTGCTAATGCTCAGACGCCCAACAGAGCTTAACTTCTTTGAAATTCCAATATCAAGAGGACTTTTTAACTAGACCTTATATTTACTTCCATCATTCCAATTACTTCGCTTAAGATTATATATAATCTTTCAACATTATGGTCATGACTGTTGATGCTTAAAATTCTACATAGATTGATTATCCTGCCCTGGCATTACTCAGCAGACTTTTAGATAAATAAAACTTGTAATCAGAAAGGTTCTGATATAATAATTCCTGAACTGCCTTATTGAATAGAACATTCTGAAACTGCTCAACAATGCTTAACAGATTTGCAAATATTCACTATACTGTAAAGCATGAAAGCTTACTGATGGTATTAATGGATGCACATTTAGTCTTAATGCATTGGGGAGTCTCCTCAGTCTATTACATAACATACCTGGGAGGAATAAAACTGGGTGGAGTACTGCAGAATGTTCACAACAGTAGGTGTTGTTCAATGGAGGGCTGCAATTGTCCTTGCCAGACTAGTTTTGTGTTAAGCATGCAATAATTACTATTTTGTTAATGATTTTGTGACTAAGATCACTCTACAACATGGTTTGCATAGGACACAATAGATTATTTTCTTTAAATGTCATTAAATACTTATTAATGACTCCGGCAAAGGTAAGGAACTAAAGGGCACATTTTGGTGCATGGTAAACTTAGTCTGAACCACTTTTCTCAATGTAATTAGTGTATATGTTTTAGATTGTAATTTACTCATTCAGACTGAATGGCACCCTGCACTCAATGGAAGTTTAATTCTTATCTCTGTGGCAATTACTGTCCGACACAGGAACCCATCTCCAAACACATTTCTATTACACAACTTAACTACAGTAATTAAAAAGCTACCAAGACTCTGTCATTTATTGTGGTCTTTAAAATATTGGACTAATTGTACCATTGAGTATGTTCTGAGAGAATTTGAGGTGGCTCTTATTTTGCAATGTGACATTGACTGAGATTGTCCTGGCTGAGAATTGGAATAACTGAATGGTAACTGGAAAATTAAAGAAACGCAGAAAGCAAAAATGACAACGAAACCATTTGTTTTTGTGTAAAATGGTATAATGTTTGAAAAAGCCATTCTTCGTGTGCATCCAGTGACTTTAAATATTTGGAAAGAAGTGAGATCAGTCATGATTTAATATGAGAGAACCTGTGGACAAATAGATGGACAACCTGAGATTTTGCTAATCTACCACCGTTGATTTAACAATAATTAAAAAGGAAAAATCCAAAAAGAGATTGTATGTGGTTTTGGGAACAAGAGTGCTGATGGTCTAAAACATCTTAGGAGTTAAAGACACTAATGGAAGATGTGATGCCTGTGATAGGAAAGAAGTGGAGCTGGGAAAACAGATTTGATTATGAGAGGAAGGAAACAGTAGCAGAGGCAGCTGAACTGATGGTCACCTTCTTAAACCCCAATGTTAACCTAACTTACTTAGTGGAAATAAGACAGATTTGAGTCCATTGCCAATGTTAGACCCCATCTAGTTTTAAGTTCCAATTAAGTCAATAGAGAATAAAATTGATGAGATTGACCCAAACACCTCCTATTCACTGGATAGATCAGGTGAAAGTCCAAACTTTCTTGACAATGTCCATAAGCTGCTCAGACTTGTTGAAGGTGTGTGTTGCAGCCAGGAGAGGAGGAAAGTGTTTTGAAGCGAAAGTGATCAGTAGAATAACTATTATAGGGGCAGTCCTTGTTCTCAAGATGATCCTGGAGTTACGAGCAAACTTGGCAGAAGACATTAAGGCCCAATAGCACTGATGAGAATAAGAGGATAAGAGAAAGAAAATAATTTATTGGACAATGTCATTTGGGTAATGGTGAGCAATGCAAGAGGCTGTCAATATCCCCTCACCTGTGATTAAGCCCGTAGAAGTGGATAGACTATCATACAGCGGATAGATGGGTTGACAGAATATGGACAGCAGAATTTATATGAAGGGAAAGATTTAGCATGAAAAGGATAACCATAAAATCAGAGGAGAAACAGCAAAATAAGTTGAAATGGCAATTAAAATGACTGACAGAATATGATATTTGCCCAACACAGAGGCTGAAGGAGCAAAAGAAAGAGGATAACTTGGTGAGAGACTTGAGGTAGGATTTTGTAGAAAATAAGGATTGGAAAGAGGACAGAAGAAGAAAAGGACAGCACAGGAGACATATGCTGAAAGGAGAAGGTGCTAAAAGAGTAGGGCAAGTGACAACAGTGTAGTTTTTGTCATGCAGATCTTATCACCACTATGAAGGTTTAAGTGAGACAGATGATAGGTGTATACCCAAATGAAGAGCTTGAGTCTGTTGTAAGGTAATACTATCTATCAGCAATGAGGTTGATGCTACCTGTCACATAAAAGTAGAGGATGTCAGGATCCTTATTCATAGGTCAGTGAACATTCTGGAGGGTAATGTTGGGAAGGGCAGTGATAGCTGGTAGCATCTGAGTTCCAAGTAGTGGATGGAGCATTTGAGGCAGGAATGAGATTGATAACATTAGTTCTACCCCTCAATAGGCAAAATGAATGGGGCAGCCAGCAAGAGATGTTAATCTAGCAAGCAGCTAAGAACGTGTTTGGGGTTAATCAATTAATTAATTGACAGGGTGGATGGAAAGGGGGTTCATGGAAGGAGCTGAAAGACTGAGTAGGTTTATAAAAAAAAAGAATTCTATCCACAAAGGAAGTTGTTTTGGCTTCTATCTCACTCATTGGCCTAGATCCAGATGAACATTGGTGGTGAAGTTGGTTGGCTCAATGAAAAGATTGGAAATGAAAAGCTCCTTTCATACAGAAGATTGTATTTTGATTTACTTTGGAGAAGAATGTCTGAAATCAAGTGCAAAGTGTCTGGATATAATGTCCGACCAATGTTTTGTGAAGCTGAACCTTATAACCAATGAAAAATGAAGCTCATACATGGACGTGGGTTATGTATTTTATTGAGGTAAAGGCATGAATGTCCTTGGCACTGTCATTTCCTACTAGGAGCAAGTTCAGTTGTAAAGTACTTGCCAAGCTAATGGCTCAACATGAACAAGGAGATTCTACTAAATTGTAAGAAAAATGACCAATTAAATATGTACGAGGCTTGGTCAGACCTTGATAAATTTAGTAAGCTAGATGGATATTTTATAGACTGTATCAGTTTATACGCAAGATTACAACAATTCTACTTGGAGATATCTGATATCGACTTTGAATTGTTTTACTGTGTTAATGTGTCAAATATAAAAACATGCTTTTGGAACAGATGTCAGAAGCCTTCAAAAAATTGCTGTGAAAAACATTCATGGCTCAAATGGGACATTAACCAACAACACACAGAATGGAGGATTTGATGGGAACAGCAATAAAAATCCACATACAGGCCGGTAGCATCAATACAAAAGGAGAATCATCGCTAAAAGGGCTGAGGTTAGAGATACCTCTGGCAAATATGACCGAAAACAGGAAGTGTAACAGAAGAATAATCCCCAGGAATGCCCAGGGTCTGGTCAACCATTTTTTTTCAATTGTGACGAAAAATGCCATAATGCAATGAATGGTCTTAAATGGCATAACAAGGGTTTTTGAAATTACACAAAACACAGAAGGTTTGAGAAAATAGTGATACTGTTCAGATATCAGGAATTGTACTTTTCACAAGAATCTTCAGCCTAGTGCTGAATGTTTTAGTTGCAGAATCATTTAGTTGCACTTCACTGGATTATGGATACATGTCTACAGTTTGTCAGTGAATTGGTTAAAATGTTTCCTAGATTACATAAATAATGAAGACTGAAGTAAGGTTAAGGAATTTGAGAGTTCCAACTGCTTCAGGTTTGGGGATGACAATATGCTGACATCCTGAAAAAAAAGTGGTGATTCCCTAAAACATAGCTGGGGGTAAACCATTTTATCAACAAGACATGGTGTCAAGTGAAATATCCTTATTGTTGAGCAGGCTGTCAATGAAAAAGGCTTACATAAAACTGGAGATGGAATACAACAAGGCAATTGTCTTTGGGAAGTCAGTGGATTTATTGTGCATACAATCCAGCCATTATTGCATTTGTTTAATAAGATCTAACTTGGCAAGTAAAAATATTAAGCAGGTGTTATTAGCATCAGGAGATAGGAATTTAATGAAAAAAAAGCCAGTTACTTTAAAACTTCACTGCAGTTTGGCCATCCACCTTCTTACAAGTTAAAAATCTTACTAAATGATTCAGGAGTAAGCGATGATGATTACACTAAACTTA